CAAACGATCGAGAAAAATCCGAAACAAAGCTGAAACATAGTAAAAACAGCATCTAAAACCTTCTTTTTACGCATGTAAACAAGCGTAATCACTAGCTTAACTACCCTACCCATGATTTGGAGCTTGCTGCGGTGGTGTTTGCCTTGAAGATATGGAGGCATCTTCACTGCCCACCAAAGTTTGAAATATTTCTTCACTCAGAAAGAACTTAACCTAAGGTAGAGAAGATGGTTAGAACTGGTAAAGGACTACGACTGTGAGATCATTTACCATCCGGGTAAGGCAAACATGGTGGCCGATGCACTTAGTAGAAGAGTAACGAGCATAGCACCCTCGGCAGTGCTCCATAGACCGATATTAGATGAGTTGGACCGTTTTGAGGTGGAGTTAGCGGTGGAAGATGTTTCGGTAGTGTTAGCTCGACTCTCGGTTGAACCGACCTTGAGACAGCGGATCATCGCTGCATAAATGGGAGATCCCAGCTTAATCAAAGGTTTCAGTATGGTGGGTCAAGGAGATTACTATCTTTTAGAAGATACGGCCTTCTCTATCAAGGAAGACTATGCGTACCAAGAGATTTTTCTTTAAGGAAGGATTTACTAACCGAGGCCCATAAATACCCTGTTCTCAATGCATCATGAGAGCACCAAAATGTATTGGGATCTCAAGAAACAATATTTGTGGCACAACATGAAGCGAGAAATTGCCCAGTTTGTTAGTAAGTGTTTGACATGTCAGTAGGTGAAGGCCTCAAGACAGAGACCCACCGGGTTGTTGCAACCTTTAAGAATACTTGTTTGGAAATGAGACGACGTGGCCATGGACTTCATTACAGGTTTGCCGAGGACGGTTAAAAGATACACAGTGATTTGGGTGATTGTGGATTGCTTAACAAAGTTTGCTCATTTCATACCAGGCAAGGCCACTTAATCAGTAGAAAGGTGGGCGGAGCTTTATTTGCAGGAGATAGTTAAACTTCATGGCATACCAGTGTCCATAGTGTCAGATCGAGATCCCCGCTTCATGTCAACTATTTGGCGCACTTGGGTCCTAGCTCTATTTTAATACGACGTTCCATCCCTAGACCGATGGTCAGACTGAGCGTCTGAATCAGATTTTGGAAGACATGTTGAGAGCTTGCATATTGGACTTCGGTGGTTCTTGGGACAAACACCTGTTCTTGATAGAGTTTGCTTACAACAACAGTTATCAGGCAACAATTGCAATGGCTCCATATGAAGCTTTGTATGGGAAAAAGTGCAAGTTGCCAGTTCATTGGGTTGAGGTCGGTGAGAGAGTCCTGTTGTGACCAGAGTTGGTGCAGGAGACTAATAGTGCCATCTAAAGGATTAGGGCAAGAATGCAGACGGCTAAGAGCAGACAAAAGAGTTACGCTGATGTTAGGCGAAGGGTGTTGGAGTTTGGCATCGGCGACCACGTTTTTCTTCGTGTGGCACCAGTGAAGGGAGTCCTACGTTTTGGTATGAAGGGAAAACTTAGTCCTAGGATTGGTCCTTTTGAGATCTTCGAGCGCATTGGCCCAGTCGCTTACAGGTTGGTCTTGCCCCTGTCGTTGGATGCAGTGCAGAACAAGTTCCATGTGTCTATGCTGAGGAAATATGTCCATGACCCTTTTCATGTCTTGGATCCCGAACCATTGCAGTTAGATGAAACCTTGTGCTATAGAGAGGTGCCTATTGAGATTTTAGCAAAAGAGACGAAGGTGCTGAGGAATCGGGCGATTGACTTGGTGAAGGTCCTGTGGAGGAATCACCAAATCGAGGAAGCTACTTAGGAAAGGGAAGACGAGATCAGAGCCCGCTATCTTGAGTTGCTCGATCGACGAACTTTCAAGGACGAAAGTTTTTGAAGGGGGGAAGTCTGTAACGCCCCGCGTTACTCAGGTTGGATTGGGTTCTTTTTTTAGAAATTATTTTAATTTACTTTAATTGTTTTATTTAATTTTATGTTGAGCTGCTGGTGTTTGTTGTGAGTTTATTGGCTTTTATGTATTTATTTATTTATTGTTTGACAAAGAGTTTGTTTTCTTTAGCAATTGTCCTGGGTCGTTGGGCCGATTGCTTACTTCTATTATTGGAGATAATTACGTTATAGCAATACAGCCCCTAGTCGGTAACAAAGAAGTGTGCTCTTGATCGGGTGCATGCATCCATGAAGGACAGTAGCTTGTGCCCTGCCGTTGCGTCGACGAGCTGATTTATCCGAGGTAGGGCAAAACTAACTTTCGGACATGCCTTATTAAGGCCCATAAAGTCAATACAGACCTGCCACTTGCCGTTAGGCTTTTTGATAAGCGCCAAGGTTGCTCGGGTTTACAAAGCTAGAGGTCCTTCTAGGATCCTTGCAAACATTCACAAAAACGACTAACTTACCGAATGATTCCAAC